GCTCAGTACAGGCTTAGTTGCTCTGTGGCATGTGGGATCTTCCCGAACGAGGGCTTGAACCCATGTCCCCGGCATTGGCAGGCGGATTCTTAACCACTGCACCACCAGGCAAGTACCCTGCAGTCTTATTTTCAACAAGACTCTGCTAGAGCATGTTGTTTCCCCCCTGAATGTATTATGACTGAGAACTTTAGATGAGTGTTAATGATTCTAGAACCATGAGACTAAAGTACTTTCTGAACTGATTTATAAAGGGATTAAAATACATTCCAGCTGAAGCCTCTCCCGGGTAGTTCACACTTCGCTTGATCTGTTTTCTGGGGGTGTTTGCAGTGACCGTGACAATGTCACAAAGAGTCGAACCACTGCAGGCTTCACATTCTGGAGATTAATTTGCCCCAAGCTTCTGTTTCCTGGCTAAGAACCAGCATTTCTTAGATTGCTCACTTTCCCTTCACGTCCATCCCCAGGCCTGACTAGAGGCTTTCGGGAACATGTTTTCATGAGGAAATCAAGTTTCCACCACTTTGTAACTGGTGCTATGCCCACGGTGATGGTGGCCGGTTAGGCCCACTCATTAGCTCAGCAACCCACCCCTGCCATCAGCCTTACCAGGGCTGGTGCCCCACAGAGAGAGAAATTCTCCTTGTCAGGGGCCTCTGGGGTTGGATTTGAATGATTGAACCACAGATGTTAGTTCTCAGAGGCCAAAGCCTCCTGGTGAGTCGTTAAGGAATTCCTTCCAAAGCAAGAGGATCTCTGTCAATCTTGGGAGCCAGGGAGAACACGTGATGTAGTGGGGCAGGGAGGGGGCGGCCGGGTCAGTTTGAAGGGCCCTTAGTGTGGCCCAGCACCCCAGCTTGCCCTGTGCCCACAGCCTTGTGTGTATCACTGGGGCCAGCGGGGAGGAGGTGGCAGGCGCTGTGACGGTGGAGGTGCCAGGAAGAGGACGCGGCGTCTCAGAGCATGACTTTGCCTACCAGGTGCCTGACTGTTGAGTCCCCACCAGCTACCCATGGGCCACCCCCTTAGGTGGCTCCTCCCAGCACATTGGTTCGCCTCCCTGGGGCTCCCCACCCCAGGGCCTCCTTGTCTGCTCCCCCTGCCTCCCTGTTCTTGGCCTGATGCCTGTCTGTTTCTCCCTGTCCCCTTCCCACAGGACCCAAAGGTGCATTCCATCTTCCCGGCCCGAGGCCCCAGAGCCGGGGGCACCAGCCTCACCCTGCATGGCTCCAAGCTTCTGACCGGGCGGCTGGAGGACATCCGAGTGGTAGTTGGAGACCAGCCTTGTCACCTGTGAGGGCCGCTTCCTCATTCTGCAAAAATCCTTGAGCTCCGGGGAGAAGATGGAGGGGTGGGATATTAGGGAGAGCAGAAATGGGGAGAGGGCCAAGTCTGCTCCATCAGAAAGTGGCCAGCCCCTCTCGAAGCTGGGGCTTTCTTGGGAGTGCAGCCTCCAGGGTCACTTGTGGAGACTGCAGTCAGCACTGAAGGGGGAAGTGAGCTGTGGCTCGAGTGGGTCCTGTGTCCTGGAATCACCCCTTTCCCCTTCCTGTGCCCCTCCGGCCCAGTCGGGCCTGCCTGCCACTTCTCCCTCCCTTCTCAGGCTGCTGGAGCAGCAGGCGGAGCAACTGCGGTGTGAGACCAGCCCACACCCCACGCCTGCCACACTCCCCGTGGCCGTGTGGTTTGGGGCTGCTGAGCGGAGGCTTCATCACAGCCAGTTCGAGTACACATCAGATCCCAATGTCACCTCTGCTGGCCCCGCCAAGAGCTTCCTCAGGTGCTGGGCCGAGGGCATGGCTGCATGGCATGCCGTTGGGAGGTCTTTGCAGCTCCAGTATATGGGGGTTTGTAGGGCTCTATGTGGGGGGCTTCGACTCCTATGCTGCTGGTGGGGAGAGGGGCCGTGGGGCTTTGGGTTGGAGCTGACCTAACATCAGGGACTGGGCTGTGCTTTAAAGCCTTGTTCACATAAGCCATAAGTGCCTCATGGGCTGTGTTTTCAGTGGAGGACGTGAGATATGGGTCCGTGGCCAGAATTTGGACGTGGTACAGACACCAAGAATCCGAGTGACTGTGGCCACGAGAGCACCAGGACCAGGCCAGGGGCTGGGGTGGAGGCACCGCGTGATCCCAGAGACGGCGTGCTCCCCCGGAGCCTCCTGTGGCGGCCTTCACGTAGGAGCCCCAAGGGCATCCCCTGCCTGCACTGGGCTAGCCATCGCCCACCTTGCCCCTCATCCCCCCCACCACCCCTAGACAGCTGTGGGTGGCGGGTACCAGTGGAGGCTATGTCCCCATCTTTGCTGGACCCCCCCCTCGTGCACCCTCAGCAGGCCCTCCCTGTCCTCCCTCCCTCTGCCCTAGTTTGAGGAGCCCTGCCACGTGAACTCCTCCCAGCTCATCACGTGCCGCACGCCGGCCCTCCCAGGCCTGCCTGAGGACCCCTGGGTCCGTGTGGAATTCATCCTTGAAAACCTGGTCTTTGACTTTGCAACACTGAACCCCACACCCTTCTCCTATGAGGCCGACCCCACTCTGCAGCCGCTCAACCCCGAGGACCCCACCGCACCATTCCGGCACAAGCCTGGGAGTGTGCTGTCTGTGGAGGTACTGCTCCTAGTGGGATCTGGCAGGGCCCCAAGACCCTTCACTTTGCCGGATGGTACTGCTGTGTGTGGCACAGGGGGCATGACAGCAAAGTAAGGGCCAGTGGATGGACATGGCGAGTGCTGAGGGGGCTGGCGGCGGGGTGCCTAGCCAGACACACCTGGCCGGGGCTTAGGTCCTGTGGTCTGGGTCCTGACATACCCCATGGCAGGTGTCTGAATAACGATATGTAAATAGTTTGGCACACGCAGTGGCGGCGAGGTACACAATAGGCGCCTGGGCTGATGCCCATTTGGCAGGCTGTCTCATGTGGACACATACTTGGCGTGTGTACTGACACACGCAGTAGCAGGGGCTCTGCTTTGTTAGGCCACTGCGTAGGATTTGGGGACAGCTTTATATTCTCCAGATTTTTAGCTCCGGAGAAGTTAAGACTCATGGAAGAAGGATCGGGAGGGGCAGAAAAGGATCGGGGGCAGCTTGGGAAACATCCATGGGGCTGTCACCCCATGTACAGGACAAGAGGTGCTGAGGCACCATCAGCCCTGCTCCTGGGGGTGGGTCTCAGGACCATCCGTCTCACATTTGGGGAGATAGGATCTGAGTGACCATCAGCTCCTCCCCTTAAGGAAGAGTTCTGAATGATCAATCAGTGACCCCATGTTCCAGGGGGAGAATCTGGACCTTGCAATGTCCAAGGAGGAGGTGGTGGCCATGATAGGGGACGGCCCCTGCATGGTGAAGACGCTGACCCGGCACCACCTGTACTGCGAGCCCCCCGTGGAGCAGCCCCTACCCCGGCACCATGCCCTCCGGGAGGCGCCTGATGCTTTGCCTGAGTTCACGGTCAGTGGGCAGGCTCTGGGCCGGGGCAGGCATCGGGCGTGCGCTGACCTCTTGCTCACATGTGGCTCCCTGTGCAGGTGCAGATGGGGAACCTACGCTTCTCCTTGGGCCACGTGCAGTACGATGGCGAGAGCCCTGTGGCTTTTCCCATGGCAGCCCAGGTGGGCTTGGGGGTGGGCACCTCTCTTCTGGCCCTGGGTGTCATCATCATTGTCCTCATGTACAGGTGGGTGCAGCCAGATGTGGCTGGGTTGGGCAGGTAGTAGGGTGTGGCTGGATTGGGAAGGGGCAGACTAGACCAGGGATAGGCAAACACTTCCTATAAAGGGCAGGAGAGTAACTATTTCAGGCTTTGTGGGCCAGGCGGTCTGGGTGGCAGTGACTCAGCTCTGCTATTATAGCCCAGCGGCAGCCACGGACAACATATAAACACATGAGCATGGCTGTGTTCCAACAAATCTTTATTTACAAAAACAGGCCAGGGGCCAGATTTGGCCGTGTTATAGTTTGCTGATCCCTGGGCTAGGCTGGGCTAGATGAGTCGTGGGTGGGTGTGACTTGCCTGGGATGGGACAGGCTGAATTATTCTGACTAGGCCCTGGCTTGGCTGGGCATGGCAGGGTTAGACTGTGCTGGCCTGGGCAGGCCTGGGCCCGGTGGGACCCAGCAAGGGCTCGGGCCTCCTCTGGCCTTCCCTGCCCTGACCTTGGTGCTGAGCAGGAGGAAGAGCAAGCAGGCTCTGAGGGACTATAAGAAGGTGCAGATCCAGCTGGAGAATCTGGAGAGCAGCGTGCGGGACCGCTGCAAGAAGGAGTTCACAGGTGAGGCTGCGGAGACCCCACGCTCCAGGGCTCTGCCCAAGCCTGCTCCCATCACCTTGGGATCTGCGCCCAAACCTGGCTCCTTCTGCTCAACAGACCTTATGACCGAGATGACCGATCTTACCAGTGACCTTCTGGGCAGCGGCATCCCCTTCCTCGACTACAAGGTGTATGCCGAGAGGGTCTTCTTCCCTGGGCACCAGGAGTCACCCTTGCACCGGGACTTGGGCGTGCCTGAGAGCAGGCGACCCACTGTGGAACAAGGGCTGGGGCAGCTCTCCAACCTGCTTAACAGCAAGCTCTTCCTCATCAAGGTGCCGGCCCCACCCCCTATCTGGGCCCTCCAGGGGTGGGGAGGGGGTTCCCCTACCCTCCAGCCCCATCCCTTCTCAGTCCCTCCGTTTCTGAATCTGCCCTCCCCACCCACCCATCCCCTCTCCCTGGCGCCAGTTCATCCACACCCTGGAGAGCCAGCGCACCTTCTCAGCTCGGGACCGCGCCTACGTGGCATCTCTGCTCACCGTGGCACTGCACGGGAAGCTTGAGTACTTCACTGACATCCTGCGCACCCTGCTCAGTGACCTGGTGGCCCAGTACGTGGCCAAGAACCCCAAACTGATGCTGCGCAGGTCTGTATGCCCGTAAGATGCCACGGGGGCCAGGTGGCCGTGGACAGCTGGAACCAAGACCTGAGTCAGGCCCTCTGGGGCCTGGGGTCTGAAGAATAGAAAGCCCTGGGTCCCCACCTGCTGACTCTGCCCCCTCTTTCCTGTCATCCCAGGACAGAGACTGTGGTGGAGAAGCTGCTCACCAACTGGATGTCCATCTGCCTCTACACTTTCGTGAGGGTGAGTGAGGCAGAGGTGGGTGGGGCTCCCCTCCAGGGAGAGTCAGGACTCTGAACCACGCAGCTTCTTGCCCCAGCACAGCTTGGGCACCCCTGCCCAGCATGTCCTCAGCCACCTTAAGCCTTCTGCGGCCTGCATCCTGTTCCCTCCCCCAGCACCTCCATCCCATGCTTGTCCCCTGCCCCGGGTGTCCTAACTGCCCGCCGCTCTCCCAGGACTCGGTAGGGGAGCCTCTGTACATGCTTTTCCGTGGAATTAAGCATCAAGTGGACAAGGGGCCGGTAGACAGCGTGACTGGCAAAGCCAAATACACCCTAAATGACAACCGCCTGCTCCGAGAGGACGTGGAGTACCGTCCCCTGGTGAGGGGGGGAGGGAGGGGGAGGGAGGGGGAGAGAGAGAGAGAACCTGCTGGTGAGTCAGTCTCCCATGAAGGTGAGGAGGGTGACCACGTATGATTGTGTGGGTGTCTGCATCTGGTTTGAGCCAGCCTAACCTCCAGCTGGCTGCAGGATAGAGGCTTGAGGGCCAGACCTTGAAGATAGAACCTCAGAGGTTCCCCAGGTTTGGGGTGGGGTCAGGGTGGCCACATCCAGAGTCTAGGGAGCAGCCAACCCTGCCCGGGGCCCGTCCGGGTCCTTGCTGTGTCAGGGCCTGAGTGTCTGCCTGATCATGGTCTTAGCATCCTGCCAGGGGCATGGTTGTGCCCACCAAGCTGGGAGTCACCCTGGCAGACCTGCCCATTGTTTCCCTCTGGGAAACTTTCCCCTTTGTGGCCCACGTGGAGGTCCTTTGGGAAAATCCCATTCAGGCTCCGCCAGGCCTGCTCCTCTGGCTAGTGGAGACCCCACTTCTTATGTGGGTTTCCTCAGCCTAACTGTCTGTGCCGGGAGCCTGAGGATCAGAGTTCAGAGGGACTTGTGCTCTCCCATTTTTTCTGCCATTCACCCAGCAGACACTAGTGCTCTGTGCCAGGTGCTGGGGCCACAGAGTGGAGGGAGCTGCTGTCCCTGGGGAGGCAGGCGGGTGAAGAGACAAGGAGGAGTGATTGTTTGGTGCTTGGAGGTCAGAGGCAGTGGCTTCCTTATGGGTTGTCCCTGGCCTTGGCCTTGCATCTTGGTCATCCCACACGTGGCATGAGCCCTGACTGCTCCCATGTATCGTGCATAGACCTTGAATGCACTACTGGCTGTGGGGCCTGGAGCGGGAGAAGCCCAGGGTGTGCCTGTGAAGGTCCTGGACTGTGACACCATCTCCCAGGCCAAGGAAAAGATGTTGGACCAGCTTTATAAAGGAGTGCCTCTTGCCCAGCGGCCAGACCCCCGCACCCTGGATGTCGGTGAGGGCAGAGGGGAAGGGTGGTCTGGGGACCCTCAGGGCTAGGCTGGCCCTAGACCAGCTCTGCGGGGTCACCTTATCACCCAGGGGAGGTGGGCTCTGGAACACCTCTATAGGGATGACCTGTCACCTGTTGAGGGGCCCCCGTTTCTGGACTTCAGAGAAGTTGGGTGAGGTTGCCCCTGATGGAGGGACCAGTGTCCTTGTAGAAGAGGGGACAGGTTCCACTGCAGGGAGGGTATGTCTGCAAGGACAAGGACCAAGCCCACCTTGTCCTTGCAGAATGGCGGTCTGGGGTGGCCGGGCATCTCATTCTTTCTGACGAGGACGTGACTTCTGAGGTCCAGGGTCTGTGGAGGCGCCTGAACACCCTGCAGCATTACAAGGTGGGAGGGGTGGGAGCTGGGGGAGGGCTGTGGTGGGGTGGGCTGGTGGAGGGGTCACCAACTGTGGTCCACAGGTCCCAGACGGAGCAACTGTGGCCCTCGTCCCGTGCCTCACCAAGCATGTCCTCCGGGAAAGCCAGGATTACGTCCCTGGAGAGAGTGAGTACTTACCCTCCCCCCCGCCCCACCCCTGCCATCGCAGTCCTCTACCCTTGCTTTGCCCAGTCTCCAGTAATGGGGGAAGGTCCTCTGGACTTCAGGGTGGGCTTGTGTCTACTTCCCTTCCACCCAGAGAAGCCCTTAACCAGGTGCCCCCACTCCCAGGTTTTGGCAGGACCCTGGGGGTCTAGGGCAGGGGGCACCTGATGAGGGGTGACAAGCTATAAGGTCTTGGTACAGGGACCCCAATGCTGGAGGATGTGGACGAGGGGGGCATCCGGCCCTGGCACCTGGTGAAGCCAAGCGAGGAGCCGGAGCCGCCCAGGCCTCGGAGGGGCAGCCTCCGGGGCGGGGAGCGGGAGCGAGCCAAGGCCATCCCTGAGATCTACCTGACCCGCCTGCTGTCCATGAAGGTGGGGCTGGGGGCAGGGACGAGACAGGTAGTGGGGTTTGGGGGTATGTGGGGCTCGCACAGGCCTGGTGTCACGAGGCATCTGAGGCTGGGCTGGGCTGGGCTGAGGTCCCCTTGCTGACTGCATCTCCTGTGCTTCCCCTCGTCCGCAGGGCACCCTGCAGAAGTTTGTGGATGACCTGTTCCAGGTGATTCTCAGCACCAGCCGTCCCGTGCCGCTCGCTGTGAAGTACTTCTTTGACCTGCTGGACGAGCAGGCCCAGCAGCATGGCATCTCGGACCAGGACACCGTCCATATATGGAAGACCAACAGGTGGGGGCGGGGCGGGCCTAGCATGTGCGGGGTCTTCTCTCCTGTCTCCCCAGCACACTCACTGGCCACACCTGCCCCGCCCACAGCTTGCCGCTGAGGTTCTGGATCAATATCATAAAAAACCCGCAGTTTGTGTTCGACGTGCAGACATCTGATAACATGGATGCAGTGTTCCTGGTCATTGCACAGACCTTCATGGATGCCTGCACCCTGGCTGACCACAAGCTGGGCCGGGTGAGCTGGCTGGGGTGGACCGGGAGGGTCTAGGTGGGGGGGGCAGCGTGGCCGGGGATGGAGAGTGCTGTGGTGCACAGACTCCAGGCCTTCTTGAGGATGTCAAGGAGGAGGACATGGGAGGCCTTTGACCGCAGGCCCGGGGCCAGGCTTTGTCCCCGGCCTCCCTAGGAGGTGGCCGTGCCTCAGCCTTCAGGGATGAGCAAGGGCAGGGGGCACGTGTGCTGATTCACAGGGTTAAGTGGAGCAAAGAGTGCTGGCGGTGCGGCAGGAGGCCAGGGCCACTTGGCAAGGGCTCACCCTCAGGGCAAAGGGGGTGGTCAGACCTGAGAGTTAGGTGGAGCCTCCTGGCAATCATGCAGTGGATGGACTGGAGCCTGGAGTCCAGAGAGGAAGCTGTGTTGTCCCTGGGATGAGCAGTGGCCAGGTTCATGCTGGGACTAGAGGGTACAGGGCAGGCAGAAGCTGTGGGTTGGATGTGGGGGTGAGGAAGAGGGAGGGGTTCCTTACGCACCCCGGGCCTCTGGCGGTGGTGAGCTAAGACTTGGAGGAGGTGAGCCCATGGATTCTACAATTGCAGAGCAGCTCCAGGCTGCCTCGGAGATTTGATTCCCAAGGGCAGTGGAAGTGTCTGCCAGCCCGTGCAGTACAGGGAGCAGAGTCCAGGGGAGGGCCAGGCGAGGAGGGATGTGCTGACAGGGGAGCTGGGAAGCATGGAGGAGAGGTGGTCAGGGCTGCCTGGTGGCACAGAGAGGGGGAGGTATGTTGTCACAGTGGTCAGGACCCAGAGAGTCCTGTGACAGACATGGGGTCACCACCATGACTGCTCAGGCACCCAGCAGGCAGGGCTGTCGTGGCTCTGCATAACGGACTCTGCTTAGCCTCGACCCCTGGGCCTGGGACCTCTTGAGAGTTCTCCACGGGGAAACAAGATGGAAAGTTTCACTCTGTAGTGCTGTCTTTTGTAAGCCATTTTTGCTCTGCCTGTGCTCATTACTCTGCCTGCGATGAGCTGAGAACCACAGAGCCACACCAGGACCCAGGGGTCACCTCCAGGGTGTGTGCTGTATGGTAGCTGGGTTCTTCTGCCTGATCTTCACACTGCTTCCCCTTCCCAGCAGCGCTGCAAATGCTTCCTGGGTAGCTCAGGAATAGTGCAAACCAGGATGCCAAGGGCCACCCATGGAGAGTTGCTGAGAAGCAGGCATCCTGCCTCAGGCCCAGCGCTCACGCCCTTGCTCGCAGGGGGCAGTGCAGTCTTGCCTCACCCTCCCAGCAGCTGTGGGATGAGGCAGCAGGTCCAGAGAATGGAAGTGTGCTGCCCACAGCCACTGGGACAGAGCTGGGATTGGAGCCCAGTTCGGTGGTAGAGGATGTATCTGGCTGTGTTAGATTGTGGGCTCTGGTCTGAGAGACCTGCTTCAAATCCCAGCTCAGCCACACAGGAGTGAGGTGGTCTGGGGCAATTTAATTAAATTTCGGGGTTAGTTTCCTGATTTTTAAAATTACATTACATGGGGAATGAACAGCACTTGGAGAAGCAGTATTAGGGCTCCACACGGCACTGCACCCTTCCCACCCTGCATGCCAGTTCCCTGCCAGGTCCGGGTGGAGGCATGTGGAGCTGACCTTGGAGTGAGATGGGGGGAAGCTCAAGGTGATGACAGCAGAGATGGGACACTGGGGGAGGGGTAACAGAAGGAATGAGGTGGGGTGACCAACCATCCGGGTTGTCTGGGACTGAGGAGGTTTCCTGCAATTCGGGACTTAGTTTTAAAACTGAAGCAGTGCTGGGAAAATTGGGACAGCTGGTCACCCTAACAGGAGCTCTCATCCTTCTTTTCCTTTCACTGTTCACCTACTGGCACCCAGGACTCTCCCATCAACAAACTTCTGTATGCTCGGGATATTCCCCGGTACAAACGGATGGTGGAAAGGTACGAGGGAAAGGGATTGCATCTGGGGGATAATGGCTGGACGGATTGGTGGGTGTTTACAGCTGAGGCCCAGGGGTGGGCCTGGTGGGGTGAAGAGGGGTTTGTTTCCCCAGCGGCTGCCGGACCCATGATCTCTGGCAGGTACTATGCAGACATCAGACAGACCATCCCCGCCAGTGATCAAGAGATGAACTCCATCCTGGCCGAGCTGTCCCGGGTATGGCCCTCCTTCTGCTTCTTGGGTTGGGCATAGGCCTTCTGTCACAAGGGTCCTGCCCCCTTCACACTGCTCCTTTGCAGGGAAGCCCTGGGGGCCTCAGCACAGTGTTCCCGCTGCCTCTGTAAAAGACCAGGGCTCCCAGTGTCTCATCAGAGAGCAGCAGGGGCCTTGTCCTGGCAGCTGCCACCGAGCCTGACTCAGCCAGGTGTTTAGATGTCTGCAGCCCCTCGGGGTCTGTGGACCATAGTTCCAAGGCAGTGAGGTGGCAGGGATTCAGCCCCAGCACTGCCTGGGTCAGCCTGTCCACGTCTTCCTACTGCTCTGCTTTCCTTGGCACTATAGACATGCCCCCACCTACTCCTAAAACAGCCTCCAAACAGTCCAGTCCGGGGAATTTATAAACAATGTAAATCCGAAACCACGATGATGATGACCACAACCACAATAACAACAGTAGCTACAGTTTCGGGGTGTTGCTGTGCGTGGGGGCTTTGATTACTTCTCATTTGATTCCCATAAAAGCTCTACAAGTTAGGTGATATCAACTCCATTGTCCTGAAGAGGAGGTTGAGGTTCAGAGATGTCCCCATGGAGGGGCCTGGGTGTGACCTCAGGAAAGACTTGAATGAGGTCACAGCAGAACTATGCTGGGTCACAGCCTGTGAGCAGCACCTATTCTGCCTGGCTCTGCAATTGCCTGGGATGCCAGAGGGTCCCAGCTGGAGCCTGGAGGGGGAGAGAGGCCGAGCCCCAGTGGAGACCCCAGGCCATGGTGAAACTACAGATCCAGGCTCTCTCCACCAAGGAGGCCCTTTGGTCCTATCCTGTCCCCAGCTTAGCACGTCTAGCCTGGCATCCCCTGTCTGTGGAGGGGCTCTGCTTCCCAATGCAGGGCCCTGTTCCTTCCTCTACCTCCCAGCCCCCTCTTCCCCACTCCCCTTGCCTGGGGTCCTGGGCCTCCTCTGGTGGCTGGCAGCACCCCCTATCTCTGTAACCTCTTGTCTCTCCTCCCTAGAACTACTCTGGAGACCTGGGGGTGCGAGTGGCCCTGCACGAACTCTACAAGTATATCAACAAATACTATGACCAGGTGGGCAGAACCTGGGCACGGTCAGGATGAAGTGAGAGGGTGACTGGCTCTGTGACGCAAGTGTGGGGCCTTCGGGTCTCCCCCAGGCACAGAGTGGTGGAGGGGGGCTGAGCCCTGGGTTCGGGAAGTGTTCTTCAGGTGTGCTTCCTGGTAGTGGCCCAGCTCTTACCTGCTGCCGCCCTTCCCATCCGGGCTCCTCAGCTGGGCTCCTGGGCATGGTGGTGGTGATGGATGGCTGGGGATCTACCAGGGCCTGGAGATGGTGTGCAGGATGTGCTGGGAGGTACACACAGCGGCCACCTGTGCCCCGGCCTTGTGCTCCCTCAGAGCCCTACCTGAGACCACATGTGGCAGTGTGCTGTGCAGGCCATCTCTGGGCGGGTGGGACTGGCTGGGCTGCATGCGCTGCCAGAGAGGAGGGTCTGGGGCAGATGCGGGCACAACAGAGCCGGTAAGGGGGCTTTCTGGGGGATTCCTGGGCTGGGCCTCAGGATCAGAGCGCCCACCGGTCAACCCACTGAGTGCCTGCTAGAATCATCTACCCAGATGTTTGCGTGGCCCCAGGGATGTGGCCGTTGCTGTTGAGCGATGAGGGCCCTGCCTCATGGCTCAGGCCTGGAGTGGGGACAGGCATTTGACACAGGAGTGATGCACAAGCGTGAAGTCCAGGTGCCTTGCTCCAAACAGTGTGGGTGTCGGTGTGGGGGAGGCGGGGCCGTGTGACACAGCTGTCCCCTTGTGGAGGCGTGGCCGGCGAGCCCCTCCTGTTCCCACCCTTCCCTCTGTGGCAGCCCCCCTTGTGGTTATGTAGTTGTCCGTGTTTGGTCAATACCTGTCTCCCCTCCAGTGAGCCCCACGAGGGCAGGGATTGTACCTGTCATCACTGCCGGGTCCCTGCTCCTTGTCCAGCACCCGGCATGTAGGAATTTAGGAACTGCTTGTTGCCTGGTGGGCGGGGGAGCCAGGATGGGTGGAGCAGGGCTTCCAGGGGGTTTGTGGCAGAGAAGACCAGCATGGTGGGTGAAGTTGGCCTCCACTCAAAACGATTTTACTGGGGAGGTGATATGCATTACCGTGAGTGCTAGGTACTGAGTAAAGTACTTCATTCCCTACCTCACTAATCCTTAAAACCCCACAGTGACTCTGCTGTCATCATCCCCTCCCCGAGGGGGCCCTGAGGAAGTGAGTGCAGCAGCTCACAGGGTTTCTCGGGCCCCTACCCACACCTGCTGCGGTAGCTGTGGAGGCCTATTGAAGTCTGTGGCAAAGGCAGACGGCAGGCTGACGGTCTCCCCCTGCTGAGTTGGTCTCTGTGTTTCAGATCATCACTGCCCTGGAGGAAGATGGCACGGCCCAGAAGATGCAGCTGGGTTATCGGCTCCAGCAGATCGCAGCGGCTGTAGAAAACAAGGTCACAGATCTGTAGGGACTTGGAGATCCCCTGGCCTGCTGTGCCTCAGCCCCGCCTGGGCAGCCCCGGAACCACGAGGGAGAGACCACCTTCTTAGATGCCTGTAGTGCCTGCCCAGCGGAGTTAGTGGAAGGTGGCTCCAAGTCTCCTGGTGGCTCTGGCCTGGGCCCTGCTGGACTCATCTCGCAGGCGTGGGGCCTTGAGGCTGATGGAGTGGTGACCCTGAGGCCAGTGACCCTGCGGGCTACTTTCTGTGTGATGTTAGTCTGAGGGAAACTGGGGACTAAGGGCTTCCAGAGAGTGGCTGGAAGGGCCTCCAGCCCCTGGGGAGACTGTACTGCTCCTGAACACTGGCCTTTATCCCAGGGGATTCAGAGAGGAAGGAGGAGAGCCCCCACTTCCTGTCCCACCCTCCTCCTCCACCATCCCTGACCTCATTAGCCGCCACTGGCCATGTTGCTGCTGCCATTTTCCTAGGTCCGAGAGATGAATGCCTTTCCTAGGCTGCTGCAAACTGACCTCTCAGCAGGGCTGGCTGCTTCAGGGCCACCGAGGCAGCCAGGAGTGAGGGGTGTCTGCTGCAGGGGGGCCTCGGGGAGAATGGTGGCCCTACTGACCTGGCTCTTCATTAAAGGATAACACACTGTCTGGTGTCTGAGATGTGGGCTTGGCCCAGCCCTCCCTTAGCTGGAGGGTGGCAGCTGTGCCTGGCAGGCACCATGGGGAGATGGGATCTGCAGCCTCCGGGAGGTCTCATGGCGCCCACAGAATGCTCCAGATCACAGGGCTGGCTGGGTTCTCCTTGACTCCTGCACAGGGCTTGCTGGCGTCAAAGCTGCTGTGAAGGAAGTGAGAACCCCATCCAGGACGGGGCTGGCAGGCCTGAAACCCAAGGTGCAGGGGTCTGTGGTTTCTTCAAGCAGGTCTGCCTTATCGGCAATTTGAGTGTTCAAATTTCTCCATTCCTGTTGCACTTGTTTTGAAAGGAACTGGGAAAGGATGGCATCACTGCTCCAGGCGGAGTGGATCTTGGGGCCCTTTTCCTCAGTAGTTTCTAGACGCCCTGAACCCCTGTAGCCTGGGCTGTTCTGAGGGGCTTCTGGTTACTGGGTTGTCTTCTAAGTCAAGGTATTTTGGGTGCAGATAACCCAACTGTCTGCCTGCGTCAAGGCCACCTTGTTTGGGTTTCCTGATTTGTAGCTGGAGGTGAGCTTCGAGACTGTCTCAGCTGGATCTTGTATTGCTGGCTGGGTCTACACGGCTGGGGGTTGATGCCCCCTTGACTGAGACCACCCTTGGCCTCCACAGGAGGTGAGCCTACTGAACAGAGGTGAGTCTATGGCCCTCCAGCCTTCAGGTCCTCACAAGGTTCTCCCCCATGGCTCTCTGCTTATAGCCCAGAGACCCCCTAGCCTTCCTTCCCCTCTGACACAGAGGCCCCACCTCCCAACTTAGGGGTCTTCATTGGGGGTTTGAAGAGACACAGGCTGATATGAGTCCAGGAAGAGTCCTCTTCCCTCCCTCTTATTGGCCCTAAATAATGCTTTCTCAAGGTCTTCGTCCCTAAGATGGCAGGAGCCACATTGGTGTGTCCATGCCCACTGTAGTCACCACTGCTATTCTCTGCTCTAATGTCCTTCCCTCCTCATTTCTGCCTGATGTCCAGACCACAGTCAGAGGCAGGTCAGCCAGCAGTGAGGCACTGTCATTCCGGTGTGTGAGGTTTAGTACTTCAAATGCATGCTCCTGCCAGGTCTTTGTAGTGGCTCAGAATGGATCTGACTCCTTCTGGCCAAACCACGGAGTTGATCCCCCATTGTGACAGTCTCAGGGAGCAGGGCTAATGGGGAATTCAGTTTGGAGTGGACGTGGAGCAGGCCCAGAGAGGGAGGGAGCCTGGTTGACACCACAGGGGCCGTGAAAGACTCGTGCCTCTGTTCAGGGCTCAGGCCCCTACAGGTCCTAGGAGGCCTGTAACAGGGTAGGTGAGGGCTCTGGGGAGAGGAAAACCATGTACCTGCACGCCTGGCAGCTGTGACTATTGAACATGTTGAGTCATTCACTATTATGTCTCAGCCCTCACAGAATGTTGTTCTAGTAAAAGATACAAAGAACACAAACCTGCGCAGTAAGACAGGGACTTCTAAGTCTTCATTCAAACACCACAGCTGCCAGTGGAGATTCTAAACCTGACAGAACTTAAGGATTCTAATTGGGTCTTGGCCACAATTTCAGTGTAGGACATTTGTCATTCAGGTTGATCAATCTTATTCTGATCAAGACTGCAAAGAGTGCCCTCACCTACTACATTACCCATAAAACATGTTAGTATGCAAAGGACCTTCGTTTCTCATCACTGGGGACACCTTAAGGAGATTAGGGAGTGACTTGCTTCCTTAAGTGAACTTTCACCAACTTAAATATCGGAGTAATTATCCAGTTAGAGGACCAGGAGCTCCGTATCTTTTTTTTTTTTTTAGTGAAGTATAGTTGACTTACAGTGTTTCAGGTGTACAGCAAAGTAATTGACATATTTTTTTTCCAGATTCTTTCTATTATAGGTTATTGCAAGATACTAAATATAGTTGCCTGCACTATACAGTAAGTCCTTTCACTTTATTTTATATTTAGTAGTATGCATCTGTTAATCCCCAATTCCTAATTTATCCCTCCCTCCTTTCTGCTCTGGTAACCGTAAGTTTGTTTTCTATGTCTAGAGTCTATTTCAGTTTTGTAAATAAGTTCATTTGTATCACTTTTTTAGATTCCACATATAAGTGATATATGATATTTGTCTTTGTCTGACTCACTTCTCTCGGCATGATAATCTCTGGGTCCATCCATGTTGCTGTAAATGGCATTATTTTATTCTTTTTCATGGCCGAGTAATATTCCATTGTATACATATACCACATGTTCTTTATCCATTCATCTGTCCATGGACATTTCTTGGTTATTGTAAATAGTGCTGCTATGAACACTAGGGTGGGTGTATCTTTCTGAATTACAGTTTTCATCTTTTTTGGATGTATGCCTAGGAGTGGGATTGCTGGAAAATATGGTAGCTCTATTTTACTTTTTTAAGGAACCTCCATACCATTCCCCATAGTGGCTGCACCAATTTACATTTCCACCAAGAGTACAGGAGGGTTCTGTTTTCCTCACACCCCCTCTAGCATTTATTATTTGTAGACTTTTTTTTAAGATTTATTATTTATTTAATTTTTGGCTGTGTCGGGTCTTAGTTGTGGCATGCAGCATCATGTGGCACGTGAGCTTTTCTCTAGTTGTGGCGTGCAGGTTTTCTCTAGTTGTGGCGTGCAGGCTCCAGGGTGTGTGGGCTCTGTAATTGTGGTGTGTGGGTTCCAGAGCACATGGGTTCTGTAGTTTGCTGCACACCCGCTCCAGTTGAGGTGCACAAGCTTAGTAGTTGTGGTGCGAGGGCTTAGTTGCCCCGAGGCATGTGGGATCCTAGTTCCCTGACCAGGGGTCGAACCCGCGTCCCCTGCATTGTAAGGCAGATTCTTTACCACTGGACCACAAGGGAAGTCCCTATTCGTAGAATTTTTGGTGATGGTCATTCTGACGAGTATGAGGTGATACATCAATTGTGGATTTGATTTGCATTTCTCTAATAATCAGTGATGTTGGCCATCTTTTCATGTGCCTGCTGGTAATTAGGATGTCTTCCTTAGAGAAATGTTACTTAAGTCTTCTGCATATTTTTTAATTGGGTTGTTTGTTTTTTTGACGTTGAGCTGTATGAGTTCTTTTGGGAATTAATCCCTCAAATTTCCATCATATGCAAATATTTTCTCCGAAACCATATGGTGTCTTGTTTCGTTTATGGACGTTTTGCTGTACAAAAGCGTTTAAGCTTACTTTTTTTTTTGCGGTACGCGAGCCTCTCACTGTTGTGGCCTCTCCCGTTCGGAGCACAGGCTCCGGACACGCAGGCTCAACGGCCATGGCTCACGGGCCCAGCTGCTCCACGGCATGTGGGATCTTCCCGGACCGGGGCATGAACCCGTGTCCCCTGCATCGGCAGGCAGACTCTCAACCACTGCGCCACCAGGGAAGCCCCAAGCTTACTTAGTTTTAAAATTTTAAAATGTTATCGGAGTATAGTTGATATACAATGTTGTGCTAGTTTCACGTATACAACAAATGATTCATTATACATATTTGTACATCCATTATTTTTCAGATTCTTTTATAGATTAGGACAGATTATCAAGTGGAGTTCCCTGTGCTATCCAGTAGGTCCTTCTTGATTATCATATATCTCTCTGTGTGTGTGTGTGTGTGTGTGTGTGTGTGTGTGTGTGTGTGTATTAATCCCAACCTCCTAACTTATCACTCACCCCACCCGAACTTTCCCCCTTTGGTCATGATAAGTTAGTTTTCTAAGTCTGGGAGTCTGTTTCTGTTTTGGTTAATTAGTTCATTGGTATCATGTTTTAGATTGCACCTATCAGTGATATCATATGATATTCGTCTTTCTCTGTGTGACCTACTTGACTTAGTGGGATCATCTCCAGGTCCATCCATGTTGCTGCAAATGGCATGATTTCATTCTTTCTTAGGGTTGAGAAATATTCCATTGTATATATGTAGCACATCTTGTGTAGCCATACCTATGTCGATGGACATTTTGAGTGCTTCCATGCTTTGGGTATTGTAAATAGTGCTGCAATGAATGTTGGGGTGCAGATGTCTTTTCGAAGGATGGTTTTCTCTGGGCATACACCCAGGAGTGGGATTGCCAGATCTCATGATTTCTCTATTTTTAGTGTTTTATAAAACCTCCATAGTGTTCTCCATAGTGGCTGGTAGCAATTTCCATTCCCAGCAGCAGCGGAGGAGGGATGTCTTTTCTCCACGCCCTCTCCAGCATTTATCGTTTGTAGACTTTGTGATGATTGGTGCCCTATGATACCTCGTTGTTTTGATTTGCATTTCTCTAACAACTAGCGATGCTGAGAT